GTGTGGGAAACAACGACCAGAACCCGCCAAGGTAGAGGCCGTAGCGAATTGGCCCACCCCTCACACTAAGACCCAGGTATTAGCCTTCTTGGGAACGGCAGGGTACTACAGAAAATTTGTCCCTGACTACAGCGCCATCGCCAAACCTCTGACCGATTTAACGAAGAAAAATTTACCTAGGGTAGTCCTGTGGTCTCCCGCCTGTGACGCAGCATTCCGAACCCTGAAACAAGCTCTGATCAACGCACCCGTTTTGTCTGCCCCCGTCCCTAATAAAAGATTTGTCGTCCACACAGATGCGTCCATGTACGGACTGGGGGCAGTGCTAAGCCAGGTCGGAGAAGATGGGGGAGAACACCCTGTCGCATACCTGAGTAGAAAGCTATTGCCCAGGGAAGTGAGTTATGCGGCAGTGGAAAAGGAATGTCTAGCCCTGGTCTGGGCCCTAAAGAAGCTCACCCCCTACCTTTATGGTCAGGAATTTACCCTGATCACAGACCATAACCCTCTAGTATGGCTGAACCGAGTGGCTGGGGACAATGGACGACTACTGAGGTGGAGCCTAGCCCTACAACCGTATAATTTCTCCATCCAGTATCGCCCAGGCCGGTTCAATGGGAATGCAGACGGACTGTCCAGGCAAACAGAACTTTTACCTTAGAGGCAGACCGGACAGCCCCAAGTTGACCCGAAAAAGGTCAATCCGGGTCTGCCGGAGTGTTCCACAAAAGGGGAGCAGTGTAACAGAACTATGCTGTATGCCTGGGCCAGTGAACTAACCAAAATCAGCAGGAATTCGTCACATTTAGTGCATTTCAACCATTCGAATGGATTCGCATGAATTCCCTGTGTAAAGTATAGGTGGCCGCCATTTCGGGACTTTACACGTGGCCGCGGCCATCTTACGTGCGAACAGCGGTGTTTGCCTGTCGACGCGTGGAACTAAAATCGGATACGCAAACAGGCGAACACCGCTGAGTCCTCCATACTTCCAGAAGTTCGCACGGAAACTACCGAATCACCGGACATTCGGTAGTTATGTTCAATCATCTATGGGGATTGCGGCGAACCCCGAGATTCGAATGGATGGCAAGAATTTCAGACCTTTTTACCAGGCGAACGGAGACCGACCGCAAGGCCAAAACTCATGGAACTATTTTCGGCTAGTTGGTCTGTGCGGTCGGTCAAAACTTTGGAACTCTGTATCTCCCGAACTATTCATCCGAATGGGCTGATTTTTGGACATGTTGGTCCCCTGAATGAGAGCTATCAAGCGACCCCGGATTTAAAGCTGTACCCCCTGTTTTTGGGGAACATCCAGAACTGGGGTAAAATGTTGTACGTTTTAATTATGTTATATGTTATCTGAGGGGAGGAGACGTGGGGGTGTTACCAGGTATATGATTGGGTGTTTTTATCCTCCCCCTGGGAGTATCCTGTGTGTACCTGATCCCAATAAAAGCAGGCTGGGTGTTCCAGTCCTCAGATCTTCTTGACCCTTCAAAACGTAGCCTTGTCTCGTTCTTGGAAGGGGATTATTTGGGAATGTTATTCTGCTCCTGTTACAGCTGAACCTGACTCTTACTCTGGATATCGTGGATAGGATTATACCAGCTTACTTCTCCACAGCAGCTTACAGGGAAAAAGGACGTCTCCAACGGCAGATACCCTCCTTCTACCCGGGTAGCCGTTACAGTTGTATAGGGAGAGGTATTAGCAGTAGAAAGAGGGAAGTGCACATGCCATTGTACAGAACACTGGTGAGACCTCACTTGGAGTATTGTACACCGTACTGGAGACCGTATCTTCAGAAGGATATTGATACCTTAGAGAGGGTTCAGAGAAGGGCTACTAAACTGGTTCATGGATTGCGGGATAAAACTTACCAGGAAAGGTTAAAGGATCTTAACATGTATAGCTTGGAGGAAAGACGAGACAGGGGGGATATGATAGAAACATTTAAATATATAAAGGGAATCAACACAGTAAAGGAGGAGACTATATTTAAAAGAAGAAAAACTACCACAACAAGAGGACATAGTCTTAAATTAGAGGGACAAAGGTTTAAAAATAATATCAGGAAGTATTACTTTACTGAGAGGGTAGTGGATGCATGGAATAGCCTTCCAGCTGAAGTGGTAGAGGTTAACACAGTAAAGGAGTTTAAGCATGCGTGGGATAGGCATAAAGCTATCCTAACTATAAGATAAGACTAGGGACTAATGAAAGTATTTAGAAAATTGGGCAGACTAGATGGGCCGAATGGTTCTGATCTGCTGTCACATTCTATGCTTCTATGTTTCAAACAACGGGTTACCCAGAGGGTCCCGCAAATTGTCGCCCTCGCCCGATTTGGCAGGCTCAGTGTCCTGAGCCGTAACCTTCTGGGTCGCAGTGTTTGCTTGCACCTCAGACCCAGAATCGGAATATTCCGCACCATAATGATCCATATATAAATTATCATACTCCTGCTCCAAACTCCGGTCCGAATCTGACGAGTCCTCCACGTGCCCGCTTCCAGGATCTGGCCGATTTTGCCCGGCCAGGGGCTCTATTGCGCGGTGGTATCGCGCCATCCTTGACTGCCTGAGGGGTGTCAGTCAGTGCAGGCTGAACCTGTAGTTCTGGAAGGGAGGCAATATGTTTGCTTTTCGCCAAAGCTTTGCATCCCAGCTGTACCACATTAGTGGTTCCCGGGTTTTGTGTGCTCTGAGGGCCACTACTCTGAGACTGCATCAGCGCTCTGGTTATAGATTGTGTGATAGAGGATGACATCCTTACATTCCCTGCCTGAGGTCTCTCATTCTGATCTTGCATTTTAGCAATAATATTATCCCACAGGGAATTATATACCCATGTACACTCAGGGTCAAAATTACTGGGCCCAATGAAGTAATGCTACTAGTAGTAGCTGAATGGTTAAGAAGAACAGTATCTGAAGTGACCTGTAGGGAAAATAATACTAGCGAAGGCCAAGAACAAAAAGGGTGTCAGGATAGAGTAATCCTCCACACCAACACTTACAGTTTGACCAGCAATAACAGCAATAAATAGCAAATATGCATAGGATGGGTCTGGGAGTGCGCCAGGAGGGTAGGAGAGACAGTTATCCACCTTAAGCATCGGTCCGCAGCAATTTCCAGCCGAAAATTGCACTTAAAATGGACGCCGCAAGTAAAAATACACGGGGTCTACAACACAATACAACAGTATAGGAAGGAGGAGAGGCACAGACAAGCAATACATTCAGAAAAGGAAGGGGGAGAGGCATTGTTAAATAGCCCTGACCAGAACCCCATAAGCAGGCAAGCATGTGGGCATGGTACGCAGTGACGGCGTCACATCAGCAATCTGCAAAAAAAGCAAGCCAGTGAGTAGATTTAAGTTATTTTGATCCCTGCCAACTTGCTGGTGGTGTTTTATTCTGTTAGGAAACCTGTCATTTTGTTCATGTCAAACTACACCGCACAAAGTTAAACAGCTGTCACAATTAGAGATGATTGCGTATAAATTTGAAGCTACATCGCTCAAGAGCAAGCTCATAGAGAGAGTCTCTTTGCAGAGAAAACCATACTTCCTATGACCTTCTCTCTGCTGGCTCTTCCCCCTAAATATCGTGGTCTTGATTGATCCTGCAGTGATCTGATCAGGGCAAGCTATAGAAGCTTATGATTTTTACTCCACAAGACTTTAATTCATTACAACCACAAAGCATGTCTTCCATCTACCTTCATTACGGTGTGAACCTTGGCCGATTATATATAATATAATAGATATTAATGTTCGTGTAATATATATTTTTGTAAAAATATATAAAAACTACATATGGGCAACAGATATGAAACCACCTGCACTACTCTGAAAATCATTTAAAGGTGCAATAATCATTACACCTTATTGAACTGGTTATGGTGACTAGTCCTTTAGGTGTCACCTATATGATGGGACTCTCTTCCCTGGTGAGAGCTATATGGTAAATACCAGCCTGGGAATAAACTTGGAAGATGAATCTTTGGTGCTTAGCATTCGCTGTATCAACATGTTAATATTTCAAATGAAAATAAGACATTTCTGTATACACAATAAACACAAAGCCAAATGCACAATTTGGCAGACATTAGAAGAATGAGTAAAAACATATGTTAAATAAAGCAGGAAGCAACACTAGCATTTAAAGGGACAGTTTAAGCACGATAACAACTACAGCTCATAATACTGGTTATGGAGCAAAGGAGTATATCGGTGCTGTCTACCATTTTTTAAAAACATTTTTAAGGCTTACTCCAAGCACCATAAACTTCAGTGATCTGGGTCTGTATGGTGCATGGAGTCTGTATGTTTATAACTTTGCTCATTTGGAGATTAACTTCTCTGCTGCCAGAGGTGTAACTCCTCCTATGGCAGTGACGTTGGGATGTCATCAACCAGCCCAGTACTAGAGTTCCACCAAGCAGGCTAAAGTTAATTCTGTGCATATAATTATGCACATAATTGCAATCATTGGCTGAGTGTGGTCAGCTAATGCTCTCAGCCAATGAATGGCAGGCAGGATAGTCATCTGACTCGGCAGCTTTGCAGAAGCCAGATGCATATCACAGCCAGCCACTGAGGAGACCAGCTGTCCGACAGGACCAGTTAGGAGGACAATCTGTTTTAAACAAGCAAGTAAATAATTTTAAACAAATTTACAAAGGAAAACAAAGCACAAACATTTTTGGAAAAGTATGTAATAGTTTGTAAAGGTACTATAAACTAAGCCAGTTTGCATTATTTGCCACACTTCTAAACTAGAGGAATTCCTTAGCCCTCCCCCTCCTGTTTACGCACACCACCTTAGTTTGAAAGCAGTGCAGCTTGTTTATCTCACTCAAACCGATCCACCCTTAAATCGGAAATCCAGGCTAAGCCATCCCCAGTCCAAATTTTCCCATTGGAAAACTGCCGGCCTAAAACATACTTTCTCCATCTTAGCGATCAGTTTAGTTAGTAAATGATGCTTAAATGTTTTCATGCAATGAGAATGGCTGCCTGTGTGTCATGGGCATTGTCTACCTCACTAGACAGTTATAGGATAGGGGATAGCTAGTATATTGAAGGGATATTTCCTGTACTGCAGTACAATAATATAACACGCCTTATTTGAAAACCACAGGAGACAATTATTAGCATGTATGACAGCAAACATATCAATTCACACAGCAAAACCACAAGTGTTATGTGGCCATTTAAACCACCACTGAATATTAGGTAACCAGTCAATCTAAACACAAGCTGCAAACAGTGTCTGTATTTCGAGATTAGTATATATGATATACAAGGACTGGCCAGATAGTCAGCATAAAATTCTATTTTATCACAGTTATTTGGAACTTACCGAGTTTTGCTGAAACTAGCCCATTAGAATGGGATATATTTTATTAGAATTATTTTAATACGATACATTGCAGGGATTGGCTAAACTGCATTTGATTTTATTATTTTGAGCCAACTATGCAATGCAGATATTGGCCAATCTATATGTGAATTTATTTTATTATAATAATTTTAAACTTATTATGTATTGCAAGGATTGGCCAATCAGCATGTGAATTTATTTTAACTATTTTAAAGGTAATACATAGACACTGGTCAATCAACATATCTATGGCTTGTATTAGTTTGAAATTTCTATTCTCCTCAAACAGTCCTCACTAATAGAAAAGAAAAAAAAGACATATATACGAGGTTTAGCATATTTGATTAACTAGTATTTTCCATGTGCCACTTGATGCTTCTATCAAAAGTTACCTCCACTTTAGAAAGCCTTAAAGGTGAAACGCGTTGTGGATATTTTTAATATTGTTAAAAGTATTTTGGCTACTTTTATACCGTGAGTGTGCCATTTTACTGTTTTATTACTATTTTACATTTTTACGTCTCTACTGCCTGGAATCTGTTTTTATTCTGTTACAGTGAGGACTACTCTAAAGAATCCTAGGTGGGGATTATACCACTCAAGTGCTATTCATTAAGCAGTTTGCCTGCTCAATCAAATGTGAGTAAAAATTTATTTATTTCTACACTTCAGGAGTTTTTAAATTATTATTGTTCCTTTTATCATTTTATGGTTTTCACAACATTGAAACAACTATCAACTTCCCACGTATCCTATAAGTGGGGATTCTACCACTGTACGCTATCCATAGTAGAGCTGGTCATAGCTCTAAAAACACATCAGTAGGACCATATAGACTTTTGAATATATACAAAATTCTGGCATATATTACACTATTAGTCTATGGTTTTATATACAAATTTCAAGATTTCTTCTGACCTTGATCCCCTGGCGGAAGAATATTCTCTGAAGAATTCCATAGTCATTTCTTCTGGCAAGTCTATATTTTTACCCTGGACTTATTTTCTTAATATCAAATGTTTTTGAAATAATAATTTTATCCATCTATTTTATCCTGTTGTAATAGCTTTTTGTGATGCTCATTTATAAGTAGACGAATATTGTTTTGGTGCAACCTTTCCCCTTATCCTTTTTTTTTTTTTTTTTATTGTACTTGTGTGTAGGGCTAAGAGGCAGCCCTACATTTGAAGGTGTGCTGCCTACCTGTTTAATATTTCTAAACTGTATTTTGTCTGGTTTAACAGCGCTGATCTTTGTCTGTATTTTCTACCTGCAATTAATTTAATGCTAGCTTTGGACATTGCTGAAGAATGCAAACTAGAGCGTATACATACAACTTTAAAAAAAAAATGTTTTATTAAAAAAAAAAAAAAAAAACAACACTTCATAATTATGAGGTTTAACACCCTGTTTTTTTTTAGTTTACTCTAGGTAATCTAATGGGATAAAAGGCACAACACAATACTTCTGTCAGTGCACATGGTGTCAACTCAACATACTAAACTTCTTGCAACCTTCTCACCCTGACTAAGGTAGTAGAAAGTGGCCAGGCTTTTAAACTTTAAATTAGCAGAGGTTGAGTAGCATTTAAATCTCTTTCTATATGTAAGCTCATTGAGCAGGGCCCTCCACCTCTCTGTTCCTGTACGTCCAGTTGTCTGGTTACAATTACATGTCTGTTAGTCCACCCATTGTACGGCGCTACGGAATCTGATGGTGCTATATAAATAATAAAATAATAATAATATACACTGGTCCTCCATCTTGTTACACATCTTGTATTGTTTATCAATATGTTGTTTAGAGCATAGTTTTGTGAAGGTTATTTTGCCTTTATCATTCAAGTTAAAAAAAATGCCCAGCTCTTCAGATTCAACTCGTTCTCCCTATACAGCAGCAACGTGTTCCCGCTCAGTAAATACGCAATCATATACCTAACTACTGATAGCAAAATTAGAAATCCAACAGAAAGCACATGAGAAAAACCCACTTTTTCTCAACAACTTCCTCTTAATGAAAAAACATTTCACAATTTTTACAAATATTTAGTGTATTGCGCAAGTAATCACCCTTCTAAATTCAGTGACTATTTTTGAGTCCTTTCCCACCATTCTGACTTAGTTTCCTGGTGTCCTGCTTTTGGGGACCACCACAAAACTGTACCCAACTAGCATAGTGCAAGCTCATCATTAGAAGTGCTCAAGCTATTATCAGGGCACTAGGACCCTGCAGAGTGCACTGAAACAGTCCTCAGTGGGCAAATGCAATCCCGTTATTATATTCATTCAACAATTAATAGCCATTTGGCAGTATAACCTATGGGAAGAATATAACAAAGAAAATCTGATTCAAGGGCTATTAGAATTTCCAAAAACATACACTATGAATAGGAGATCTTTGACATTAAACCAGATGGTATGGTGAAGGTGTGTCCCAATCACTAAACAGACATGTCTTGTTGTAAGATTTCAGGATTTCGTAATGATTTCCATTCAGAATGCTGATGTCAAAAGAAAAAAAAAACTCAAAGGGCATGAACCTAAATGCTTTGAATTACCCAAATACTGCACTGTTTACATCGGAGCAAATTATTCGACCAACACACATTCTTGGCATTAAAAATTACACTACTCACATTCCATCTTCATATACAACATTCTTTCACCAGCACTGAATTTCGAACCTTATAATAGAATTACAAAGACAATGAAAAAACAATTGTCATTAGAAAAGCACAACATCCATATTTTTGTTAGTTTTTTTTCTATTTATGAATGAGGTTGAACAAAATCATGGTGGAATAAATTTTCATTGAAACCGTGTTGTGGTATAGATCATAGCTGCAGTCTCAATGCTCATTTCTCTGCATTTTAGGAACTTTTTTATGCAGCCCTGGCCACAACTTACTTAGCTTTAACTCAATTGAAAAGGTTTAATTTGCACAGTTTTTTTATCTCCTGCTCTGTTAACTGAACTTTTATACAGGGGCTGACAAATTTGCTTGGAATCTAGTAGCCAGCTAAAAAAGTTAGGAGCCAGTTTTTGTTTTGTTTTTTCTAAAAAAATACAATTATTAAAGGGACCCTATCGTCACCAGAATCACTACAGCTTAATGTAGTTGTTCTGGTGTCTATAGACTGTACTTGAGGGCTTTTCAGAGATAAGGCAGTGTTTACAATGCTGCCTAGCAACGCCTGTAGTGACTGTCACTCAGACAGCCACTAGAGGAGCTTCCTAGTCCAGAGCTGCTCAGTGTACACATATCATGCATGTGTGTGTGTGTGCAAGCCGGCACAACCAGCATTACATCTCATACATGGCATACAAAATGCCTACAAAATCTTCTAAGCGCAGTTATTGCTCAATTATCCAGGGGCTTACACAGCTTTAACCAAGCGTTCCATCATTCTAAGATTGTGCACATTCCCCTAGTCCATTTCCTGTTTCTTGGTTCTAGACTTCCTCTAAGCAAATCTGTTAACTGAATAAGATCTCATGCTGACTTCTGACTACTCTGACAAACATATCTCCAACAAGTAAATGTTCCTTCGTATGTGTGTATGCTTTTCTGCCACTGCCAATCCTCCACAGCAATATAGGTGAAGATTGTGCAGTCACGCTAAGTTGTATTACTCCTATTAGACAGCATGCATTACGGAAATTGGTGGTGCTATATAATAATAATGTAATATGCTGTTATTATGTTGTATGTATAAAAACTGACTGCTTGAAGTCACTGACATTCTTTGAACTTTTTTTTTCTTTTCACAAAGCACACTAACATTTATAAAGCATGGAATGCAAGATTGGCATGCAAGATGCCTAGTGGTGCATGAAGAATAGTAACCTTTATGACAGGAACATTAACAAAACAATGCAAATACAGATCAAGGATTGGCTGGCCAAGGAAAGATATGGTTAAAAAGCTGCTAGGTTTGGTATTTGAAAACAAAAACAAAATAACTTTGATAAACATAAGAGAACAGAAGTAAAACAAAAAGAGAAAAGATTCAGCACTTGTAAAGTACTGTTAAAGTTCTAAGGCAGCTCAATCACCAAGTCCAGAGTCTCTCTTGCACGGTGTAGAGATATGAAGAAGCAGAAGGGTGGTGTAGCGCCTATGTCCTTGAATTTTTTTTTAAAAAGGATAAAAAAAAAAATTTAAAAAAAAGAGAAAAACGTATACACTTTCCGTTTTTATCTTCTTTAATTTGTTCGAGTATATAATAGGCGCTACACCACCCTTCTGCTTTTTCATAAGAGAACAGAAACCGGTCTCCATTACAGGACTAAAGTCACTCTGACCGTTTCATCTCAATGGTCCTGTCATTTTCACTATACAATGTAAAACATAGCATAATAATGTAATATAATATTAAAGGAACACTATATCGTTAGGAACACAAGCCTGTAACTCTATAGTACCCCTACATCTAGTTAAATACATATCAGCCTGCACGATCCATCCACCCCTACCCTCTTGGCAAAAAAAAAAGTAAATATATATATATATATATATATATATATATATACACACACATATATACAGTAAAAATTTAAGCATGTATATTTGGGAGTCTAACCAGCTCCTTGGTTTTGCACCCCTCCCTGTCACAGGTGCCTCATCCCAGGGCCCTTTTAGCCTTGTACTGCAGAGAACTTGAGATGGAAGGATTTCCCCAAGTGAGTAACTCATTTAGTAGACAGTTGGTTGTAAGCGTAGGACCTGCTAAGAATTGGGTACATTGACGTTGTGGCAGGGTTATGCAATGTATGATCATATAATGTAACTAAACCGCCATTATTTTTTGCCTAGATTAGGT